TGCTTTGTGGATATAACACAGATAAGGCTTCCACTGCTCCTTAATTGTGAGATCCATATATTTTATACTTATTTTTGTGTTTTTTTTACAATGTAATTGTTATTTATTTTGCTAGGTACTCTCTAATCTCTTTCCTAGTTGAAACTTCATTTGACTGATTACTATCAGTTAAACAGTCCAACTCATATGATGTAATTCTCTGATGTTCACCAGTTTACCCGCCACCCATCTATTATCTTGGCATGCATATTCTTGAAAGGTGGCAAGAATATTATCAGCCTGTCAAATTATAATTATTTGCCATGTCTACCTAACCCCACATACTGTACAACATTCAACTAGTAGTGTCTACATAAAACATATTGCACTAAATACAGAATGACTGGTGCACCAGTAGGTAAATAATACAGACCTATTACAGAATACTAGCTATGCTGAGGCTATTCCCAATTATCCATTAGCATTATAATTGCACATTCGCATTTTTCAAGGGACAAAGAGTAGCCTTACATAATGAAACAAGATATGTTACATAACAAAATCTTGCTTATTTCCATAGTGAAAACCAAAAGTAAGAAAAAAATGAAAACAAATATGTTCTTCACTGGTAAAATATAATAATTCGTAGACAACTGTGTTAAACAGTAGATTTCAGCAGACCGAATTAAATCTACAAACAGGTTAAATACATTAGATTTAAAAATTAATATACTGATTTTATTTTCTATTAAGTTTATACAGACAGAGACATTCCTAATAAAGAGACCTATCTGTAGAAAAAAAATCACATAAAGCCAATCTATTTTTTTGAGAGATACATTTATGGCACATTCAGAGTTTTATAAAGAATAACCATAAAGTCAGTCACTAAAATTACAATGTGGGAGAGCTGTGGCCCCTTAACTCCTGCAGTTTGCCAAATCCTCTGGTAATCGGCATTATCATGAGTCTGCAGACTGGACTTTTACACCCTATTGTACTGTATCTATTGTTTCAATATGCCTTTCACATTGAGTCTTTAATACCCTTCAGGACTGTCAATACGTCCACAGAAAAAATATGGACTCTGCATTGAGGCACTTGGTTGATAATTTTCCGCCCAATTACTGTTGAAATGCATCTCTGGCAAGATTCAGCACCCACCAGAGGCCTGCCTTCGAGCCCCCAGTGGTGTTTATTTTCTGCTGTGTTATTTGAGACATTGATTGGATAGTATCCATGTCCCATGGGACACCTGTCCAAGGTCTATTCTTATGGGCGTTCTCTGCTCCTTCCTGCAGCCATTAGTCAGCTCAATGACAGTGATTAGTAACCTTGGAACTGCAGTTATATATGGACCTACATTTCCTGTGGACAGCTGGCTAGGCATCATGGGAAATATAATCCACAAACACGTGCAATGCTGTGTTTAGCCACCATTGTCATAAAGTGCCAAATATATCTATGTAGCCATATTGATACATATATAGCCAAATATACATATAGTGTAGCCATAATGATCTTGTGACAATGAAGAAGGTATCTTTAAAAATCTACAGTATGACAATGATGTGCCAAATGGTACCCCAGAAAAAAACAAAAACAAAAAAACTTTGAATAACTTTGAGCAGGTTGTTATTTGGTGCTTACTTGGTACTAAATGGCTATAACCTGAAAGACAACTTTTTTTTTTTATGGTTTCTCATGCACATCATTAAATATATGAGGGTCAGATTACTTTTTTTTTTTTTTGTATGAGCTAAAGTCTGTTGTGTTTTTGGAACTTCAAATATAGGGAAAAAAAATGAACTTACTTCAAGTTTCTATCATGCACTAATCTGAAAATATTTATTTCTCAAGCTTCTTTTTAATGAAAAGTCACTGAAAAAGATGGGTCATTGTAGATGGATGCCTATATTTAAATGTATGGATTCGCCTCCTTTGTCACACATGATATTACTCTACGATACGATGTAGGCATATTTATATTTCCGAAGAGTGGAGACGTTTCTTCGGAAGTCCTTTCACAAAACTGAGAATTCAGTGAGTTGACAATAGACTTGCCAAAATATTAGTTGAGGAAACATTTTCCAATTTTACAGAGTAGGAGATTTCCACTAACGCAGCCATTTTGGCCCTAAATTTTCGAGCCATGGTCAACGAATCATAGGTTGCTTAGTGAGGAGACCCATATAAATCCGGTAGATGTTTTCGAGGTATGAAAGTAACATGTTTAGATTCTGAGATAAAAGATCATTAAGGATTCCGTGAGTATCCAAACTATTAATGGTAGCCAAAACCAGAGCAGTAAACATCACTGTGTTTATCAGAGCAAAACAATCCTATAAAAGGCAAACGCAAATGATTCATAATTATGATAACGTACAAACTGAATATTCCAGTTGTTGCTTCATATTCTTTTGTTTTCTTCAAATATTAAGCTGAATATCTCATCCAGACAATTTTGAGCCACAAAGATAAGACCAATAATTTTTAACCCTTTGACTGCTAATTGAGTGTAACTAGCAGATCATGTCGCTGCAAAAGAAAGGGTTATGGAGAACTGATCACCAGTGCCCCACAGAGCACCAACCCAACAATAAAATTACATTTTAACAAGTTGGATATATGAATCCTTTAGGGTTCATTATCCCCCTGCACAAGGATTTTGTCTTTTGTTATTTTTATACCTCTGGTTTCAAATAACAACAAAAAAAAGTGATATCCAATACATCTTGTAATAAATAAGATTTGTGAAATAAGTAGTAGGGTCATATAATAGCTCCTCCCAAAGAAATATCCAAGTAATATATCCTTGATGATTGGATGCAACAAGATATGAGGATGTTTGATACAAATTTTTATGTAAGTGGACAAATTTCTTTTAACACAAATGGTTCTTTTTGTTTAACCGACTCGTTGTCCCTGTCCCCATACTGATACACCAAAGGGACGTGGGGAGCTCACTGAACCAATTCAAATTACTCCTAGTAACAGTGGTTTTTGTTACAAAATCTATTTAATTTTTTTCCCCCTGCTATTAAAAAATTTCTGTTAGGAAAGCTTCAAGAACTGTCCTATGTCCAATCAACATTCTCAATATATGCAGGTAACCTTCCTTTTTCAGCTGTTTCTGCCAGGTCATCTTTTAAGAGATCTTAATTAACCTTACCAGGATGAAGACGAGTGCACTAGCAAACAACTTCATGGCATTTCTGTAGTGTACATTTATATCATTACTTATTTCTACATTTATTACTTATCAAGCTAACAAATAGAATAAAATTTAGAACCTATTGTATAATGACCTAAAACTGTGCAGCATGACTCCCTGCATACATGTTAAAATAGTAACGTCTTAATACGTCCCAGAAACAGTGACATATGCGGACGCAAAAGTATTTTAAATCATACTTACAGATTAAACTCACATTAAATGAGATAACATCACACCCCCACTTGTGCCACGTTTAGAGTATATTAGGCCAAAATAAAATAAAAAAACAATGCCTAAAAAAATCTACCCAAGGTGTTAGCGGTTATATTTATCACAATAATAATATGACTTAACTTTTTTAAAATCTTATGCAGTTTACTCCCTTACAGTAAAGGATTACTGATAAATAACAAAGTCTCTTTACTGCTGTTGATAAAATCAACAAATAAGATGACACTAATGATGATGATAAGTGTTACAGACATACTCAGTGTAAAAGAAATATATACATAGGTGTTACACAAAGCAGTTTAAAAGTTCAGAAATTTCTGAAATGTAAAAAACTACATTTTTGATCGCTATTTATAGAAATATAAGTAAGTTTGACACAGCATATACATAAGCATATTTATAATACTCTACCTATTAGTAGGACTGTTAAATAAGTTGCAATATTACTTAAAGGCCCAGTGTTATGCAAAAATAACTGATTCTGAAAAATGACCTGATCAGCTTCACAACTTTACATTTTGCAATCTAAAGGTCAATTTGCTACAATTTGGAGGTTAGTTAATAAGCAGACAAATCCTAATCTAAGCATCATGTAAAAAAGATGTCCATGTCAAAAATACAAGAACTTTACTTTAATCAGATTCCTTAATTCTGGAATAAAAATAAATAAATTATATATATATATATATATATATATATATATATATATATATATATATATATATATATATATATATATATAAAATTCATTTATAAAGAGCCAACAAGCTGCAGCTGTTTACAACCAGAGAAAAAAAAGTTTCAAAAAGCCATAATGAACTTTAAGGAAAACAATGAGAGCAATTGTACTGGCCAGCATCTACATACACATCTCTAAGCGTATTCATGTCATATGCTATATACAATAATTACAGGAACCCTTAAGCAGCTATATACTGCTGGCATGAATCTACTAATAGTGTAATTGTACCATATCACAAATTCTAGAATCAAAATGTCTGTTAGACTATATGGGGAAATGCAATCCAAGTTAATGACAAGGCATTTACAAGTGATATATATTCAATCCCATTCTGTGTACGTTCACAATAAAAATAAATACATTTAGCACTATTTGGCTGCCATTTGATTATCTTATACTGTACACTGCCACAGAATAGGTTGCCTACATACACCACAAATATATAACACATGCACTCATCCAGCTGTGCAGCATTTGATATGCACACTACTTTCTTAAAGAATATAAACATTGCGTGTACATAAAAATGAAAAAGTGTTACCCCCTCATGGCTACTTCCCCCAAATCATCAGCATTCATCACAAAACACAAAGTGATTCAAGTAAAAGTTACTCTAACTTTTGAAAACTGCAGGAATGTATTGTCATTTCTTATTTACCACAATCACCAAATCTATTAACCAAACTGGTAAAATCCCCTTACCTTGCAACCAGATTGGGGCAGGGGGATCCAAATCTCCTCTTACGTGCCCCTGGGATATCTTCAGCTTTTTTTCACAAAGGGTTAAACACTTCTTAAAAATCCATAGAGATTGACTTAGAATTTTGACATATCCAGATTACAAGAAAAGTACAACAACAACAACAACAACAAAAGCTTTCAAATTTCTGATCTCCCAGTTTGTTTGTTTTTATATTTAATAGTCTCTTCTTTTTGGCTTTTTAACCATTCAGAATGAAAAAAAAAGTAGATTTCGGTAAAAAGTTGTGCTTGCGTTCTGCTCTGACTGCAGTTATAAATATTTCATTCTTGCAGGAGGACCACCCTGAAGTAACAGGCAACTTGCTCTGATTTTGTCCCCCCTTGCAATCTGCCTCCTTTTGGGGGAATGTTTGTAAAGCAGTTAACTTTCCTTGTAGTTTGTGACTCCAGTTGTTGTTTGTTTGTGCGAGGAAGGATGCGTCTGTTCTGTTTTTTGCTCTCTTTTTCTGAGTTTTGGGGGAATACGTTGAAGAGTAGAGCAGTCAGACTGAGCACTGTGTGTGGCTGGGATGGGGAGACCCAGAGGATTCTCAGTTCTCAGCATGCTGTCTGTGGTTACTTGGGCTGGGAGGAAGACATGGGCTGGATACATTTGGGAAATGGAGTGGAGAGTAAGGAAAAGTTAGGGGGGAGGAGGGAGTCTGACTGAGCTACATTCCAATGGGAGAAGCACATAGAATACAGGACACAGCCACCTAAAACTTGAGATTGTTGCTAACATGCACCTCCAATGTTCTAGGAATAATTTGATTGCTTGTTTGTTTGTTTGTTTTTTCTTTAATTTAAAACTAGATTAATGAATGTATAGTTTTGAAGCATTAAAGTAATCATAATTGACACATAATGAGTGTATGTATATCTGTGAATATGAAACAAACTAAAACAAAAAACATTTTTATGTAGAAAACAAAAATGCTGCTGAAAAATACTAATTGCCAAACACGCTTTACTGTGAAGTAAAAGCTTATGTTAGGGACAATTAAAATAGTTCTGTAGCAGTGTTTAAATTAAAAACCTAATGATACATTATTAGACCTGGCAAAGCATTATGGTAGATGTAGTTCCACAACAGCTAAAGCGCTATCCGTTGACCTCCACGGGCCTAGAAATATTTGTTTGTGGCAAAGTTTTCCATTGTCGTGTTTGCGTCCTCACAGTGTATGAAAATGCTGCTGTATTGTGATTGTGACAGAATTTGTGCCTGTTTATACAAGTAAATTGTCACACACAAAAAAGCACCAGCGAGACAGCCCCCTGTATACATAAAAGAAATGATCTAATTATTGTTTCTCATTATTACCTTAGATAATGTTTACATAAAGTGTGTCATTCTTTGCTGATGGTGAGCCAAATGTCTCAAATACGTGGGTGCAGACATTTTTTTGACACACACTGCTCAGTTTCTGTGACTAAATTTGTACTCTATCTCCTCCTGGAACAAAATTATATCATCCACATTGACATTTACGTAAACGTAAAACAACAATATGCAGTCTCATCTTGACAGGGACTTTTTGATTTTGGTATTTCTGAGGTAATGTAAATAAAATGTTAATTTCTTTACCGCACTGTGATACATGAACCAAAATAACAGTGCAATACATTGCTTACCCCATGACATTTATTGGGTAAATAAGTGTACAGAGTACTTTTAAAATGACCACTGACATTATGCGAGACATTTTTAACCCATGCTCTTTTAGTGTACAAAAAACCATAAACTCTTTTTCTTGAAATGCACTGCGAAGGTATTTCATTGACAAAAAAAAAACATTTTAAATAATTTGGATTGTTAAATTTAAATGAAATTCACAAAATGTACTATTATGTTAAATGAGCAGACTTTACCACAAAATGTATCTGAATTGGTGATTCACAAGGGTATCCACTAAAGTAAAAATAGTTGGGACTTCAAATTTTTTTAAATAAGGACCAAAGAGCTGAACTGGTAGCAAAGCTGACTTGGAGACCTTTTCCAGTTTGGCTATTTTAGCATTAAATTTAAAATTCCCTTTGCATACATTCTACATTCCCGGTAATTCTATTTTTTCCTGGATAACCCTGTCTGTGTAAAACAAACACATGCACACAAAGTTGCATGCACAAAATGCATGCACAAAAGCAGACCTTCCATCAGTCTCTATTTCGTCAGGACTGATGCTCACACACACATAAATGCTTGCACAAACTTGCTTACAAACACTTTGGACATTTTATAATTCCTTTCTCTCTTTACCTTTATGGGGAAGGGAGGTTCTGCGTCACTCCTGGTGTTTATGCAGAGGGGATGCATACCACCCAACATTGGGATGTATGCAATCATCACCAGTGATGCAACTCAAGTCACTGGTGACAGCCATAATGGGTGGGCCAGCCTTGAAAGGGGCATGGCAGCCTATTATCATGCACGCCAGACTGACAGATAGCCCCCAACTTACAGGACCACGTCATGGCGAGAGCACTGCTGAAGACGGCTATGCATGGTCCTAGTGCATGAAGCACTAGACGCACTCCCTCTTTGCTGCCAAGGAACAGTTGCCCGGTCTACCCAAATGTAGGACACCATACAGCTAAATTGGGATGGCAAGACAGGATCCCAAAATTGGGAATATCCCGCCACAACGCCAAGAGTGGACACTTGGGAGCCATGGAGTGTACACTGGGCAGTACAGCAATCTTTTCTGCTCCTCTTTAGCATGCATGTACACAGTAGACAACAGGCTGCGGGTGACAGGATATGACATCACATTCTGGCACTGCCCGCTCTCAGTTTTATTATGCAATACACAGAGTTAATGACAGTAACTGCGTGCGTGCATTGCAGTATTTGTGTGCTGTGCAGCCAGTGTTTAAATGTGTGCCCGTCAAACAAATGCCAGCATGAGGGCATCTCTATAGCAGCACTCACAGGCCCCCAAGGGGTGGGTCTACTCCCAAATTGTACAAGGTTCCAATATAATGATATATCTACATTAAGCTATCCAGAATGATAGCTATTGCATAGGTTAAACTTGCTTATTCGGCTTTCTACCCTTATGCCACTAGCACAGAAATAAAAGACTAATCGGTGTATTTACATTCTAAATTTGTAATAATATGGGAAATTGTTATTTAGTAAGAAGAACCCTTACTCTACTAGTAAAGTACAGCCCCAGATGTTTTGAATTGATGATATTTCCATGAATGTACTTTTTGTTTGCAGTTCCATCTTTAACCCTTTTATGGTATCCTACAATATTGTTAGTATAGATTATATCAAATATTTATTATGCCTTTGTACATGGGTGACTGGAGAAACTATCTAACTGCGGACACAAATGTTCGATGACAAAGTTTTTGGTGGATTTGCATAAAATTTTATCCCTGACCCTATAGTGTTAAAAACAGTGTTTAGCCACCTTGTTTCCAGCGCCCCACCCCTGTTCCACCTCCTTGGCTGACACCATCAGAATTGATGATCTCTGCCAATACAATTGGATTGGCTGAGATTGTCAATTCTGAAGATCTCAACCAAGGAAGCAGGACAAGGGCAGGGCCAAATTGACTGCATCTCTAAGGGAAAAGTTGAGCTCTGCATGGAGATCTGCATGGAGAAGTGGAACATCAGTCCTGGACACTGTGCAGCACTGACCAAGGAAGCTCTAGTAGTTGCCACTGGAGGTGTCCCCAGGCTGCAATGTAAACACTGCCTTTTCTCTGAATTGATTATTGGTTAATGTAATGTCAGATTGTATCACCTATTCACTCTCAATATATTAACTCTTACTGAGTTTCAAAATGTCGTGTGTAAGTCAAGGACGCTTTATCAGTCAAGTTAAAGGCACATTCCAAGTACCATAACAGCTACAGCTACAGTGCCTGTAAGGTACTTTTTAAATTGTATTGATTTTTTGTTATATGCCGTGATGAAGCTCCACTCCCTTCCCCACTGACTTCATATGGAGAAGTCTAAATTCCCCACTGTGCAATACAAATACTTAGACAATGGAAAAACCTAGATAAAGGGGACAACACTCTGAACTGTGCTTTTTACTGGTACACACTTAGCACAGCTCCTGCAAGTGAAGCAGATTGACTTGAACAGAATGTGCAAGCAGAGTTTGGCCATGCCGTACAAATATTTAGATAGATCAATGGGGAAGCTAGACTTCCCTATATAGTGTCAGTGGGAAAGGGGGCGGAGCTGCGGTACTGCAGAATATCTGTAAAATGAAAAAAACACAAGGGAAATCAAAGTTAAGTTTCCAAGAAAAATACTTACACCATAACAACTTAATAAGCTATAATGGTGATGGTTGTAGGTGTGTCTTTTTAAGACTATATTTCTTCGCAAGTTTTGACAGCTTATTCCTCCCAGGAAAAAAAAAACAATAAACGTAAAGTTCCAGTGGATTCATCTTGCCAATCTTAAATGAACTTTATACATTTAAGAAATATTTTTAGTAACATAAAAAGAGCTGAGTGCTTTAACTTTTTGTCTGCTTATTTTATAAGTTTTAGCTGTAAAAGAATGTCACATTCTACAGTCAAAGTTATAACAAATGTACGTAGGATTGAACCCATGGACCACATGTGTGGTCTGGTTCCAATGAAAGTAGATCTGCAGGAGTCGACATTCTTTTTAAGGATAACATTCCTACTGATTTTACTAAAGAAACTTTACTGGGGGCAGTGGGGGGATCTTTATTGGTAAATGCTTTTATTGATTGTTTAAAGTGTCTTATTTTGTAATGGAAATATTTACTAAGGCTGTTTAAGTTTTATATGTTATATCAAATAAATAGGTGTTACCATTGCTAAATTAAAATAGTAAACAATTAGATACAAAATAAGAATACATAAATAAATACTTGTAAGGATGCATTCTGTTCACAAGCCACATAACTTTGTAGATAAGACAAAATTTGCATAGTATAGATCAGGGGTGCACAAAAGGTAGATCCCCATATGGTATAGAACTACAACTCCCATGATGCTTTGCATGCGTACAAAATGCATTTAGAATGACAAAGCATCATGGAAGCTGTAGTTTTAAAACATCAGGGGATCTACCTTTTGGGCACCCCTGGTTTAGATGTTTCCATATATAGACATCTGAGGGGACCCGAATTTAGGCTTGTTTCCATGCTTGTTGCAATCATTTACTGAGTCACTACTTTTAGTTTTAATTCTGTTAAACTTAACCACTGGTAATCAGTGGCCAAACATTTTCTACTAAAATCAATAAAAGAAGTTAAATGCTAAAGAGCACGTGGTTTATACGCTAGCTATATGTTAAAAATTACTGCCCATTGCCCCATGTGACTAAATATGATCCCTGCCGCACAAAGGTATAAAGAGAAAAAGGCAAGTTAACAAATGCAAATTCTTAATACAGTCTAAATTAACATCATTAAAAGGATACTATAGTGTCAGGAATACAAAGCTGTATTCCTGGCACTATCGGTCCTCCTGACTCCCCCATCCCTCGCAGCCCTGCTCCCCAGTAAAAAAAGGGTTAAAAACCCTTTATTTACTTACTTGATCCCAGCACCGATGTCCCTCAGCGCTAGGTTGAAGC